AGGAATCAATGGATTATCTGCAGCTATTTTTGATCTACGCTATAGAAATGTGATGGTTGTCGAGCACTTTTTAAACTATTCTTGTGAAAATGACGTGATGAAGAAATCTCATGCTAGTGAAGATATTATTCAAGGGGTACTGAATACACCTATCAATATTTATCATAATCCAGATGATAATTGTGTTTTACCAACTGTTTTTTTTTTTTTAAAAAAAGATGCATTTCAAGCAATCCTAACCTTAAATAATTAATTTGTAAAAAATGAAAAAAAAAATCATTATCTTATGCATTTAATGGAGTTATAATTGAGTATATTGATCCAAGTCGGGACCAAAGAAATTTATTATTTAAGTGAGATTATTAATTTATTGAGCATTCATTTATCAATGTTTTACTTTATAATAGTTTACTTAATCGTAACAGAAAAACACATTTTAAATTAAAACTTGCAAATTTCAAAATTATTTTCACTTTCTTTTTTATATTTTTCAATTCTCTTGTTAGTTTATTATTTTTCTTATTATTTCTTTCGCATTCTGTTTTTGTTAACTACTATTTCCAGTATATTTTAATGATTGAAACTATTACTTTAATACAGTTTATGAAATATTTTTAAACGACATTTCAACGTAGAAATTGTAGAATTAAAGAAAATCACTTAAAAGGAATGCTAAGAGTGTCGAGAGATGATGTCCAAAACATAAATAAATAAATAAAAATCTGGTCCCTTAAAAAAGGAGTGTGAGACGATGATGTTGAGTTTCGTGATGTACTTTATATCGTATCCACATTTCTTTACACTGCTTCGTACTCCAAATTGGCAGAAGATGCTCCCTCGAGAATGACTCCAGAGATATGGAAACATTTCTGAGACAAGTCCATCGCTATAGGGAAATGATGTTAAGGGAAAAATCAGTCAACAAAGGTGACATTGAATCGTTTGGCAGCACTTAAGTTGAAGTTGAATCAACTGGATTCTAAACGTACTGATCATCTGGCTGCCATTGAAGCCAAGCAACTACAAATAACTACTGTAAGAATTGATCTGATGTCAAATTTCAAGGTTGAGAAGGGTTTTCGAATGTATACAATGTGGTTTTCTTACATGTTATATCGAAATAGAGTTACATGTACATCCACTCAATTTACGGTGTCATAAGTTATGTTGTTTTATAGATGTTTTAACATAATTCGTTCAACCCAATAATTTGCAAGGTTGTTGACATTGTCGAGAGTGATTCCCCTACATAGACTGGGCTGCTGCTCGGCAGCAGGGCCAATAATACTTCCGAAACCCTTTTGGCTCCAAAGCGACGAAGTTAGCTTAGAGGTGATGTGTCATAGTTGCACGAACTCGGTTTGAATTGAAGTGGGTCCCCCATATTAGGTCTAACCATGCATACCACCAACATATGATTTAGAATTAAGTTACATGTATAGATTTTTTTGACAGAATTTTTATAGATTTACGCTTGTCAAGTTTTCATTTACAGTTGAAAAAAAAAAGTACAAAACACTGCCAATCAAGTATTGCCAATGCAACATCTATAAAAAAAATTCTGTAAACCAACTGTTTGTAAACTTTGTTTTATACTATGATTTAAGCCCCGATGTAATCATTAAATGAGTGAGACTTGGAAAAGTACTTCTTTTGACTAGTTGAGCAACCCTTGATTGCATTGGAAAGCAGGGCCGGCCCTGGCCCAAGACAAGCAAGGCCATTGCCTTGGGCCTTAGATTGTAAGGGGTCTCTAAAAAAGAAAGAAAGCCCAAAAAACCCCAATCCAAAACCCCTCAAATCCCTTAGAAAAAAAAAATTGAGTAATGAGAAACAAATCATCACCGTCTTTTTCTCCAAGACTCCAAACAGCAAGAATCTTCATTCTCCGCCAAAAAAAACTCTCTATTCCATTAAATTTTCAGTCTTCAAATCTGATTTTTGAAGTACACGTTGGCAGTTGTCTTCTCTTCATTACATTTTCATCAATTTCTTTTTGTGATTTGAATTCCCTTTGCAAAAACCTCACCTGAAATATAGCCATGGATATTCTCTTCTTCTATAAATCCAATACACAGACGGTGGACTTGGTCTCAAAGTTTGAGATAAACAACGGAATATGAGGAGAGAAAAGTTTTACTAGGTAAAGTCATTTATTGGTTAAACCCTCACTCTCAAATTATGAATTTCTTTGTTACTATTGGCATAAATTCATTTATATTTGTTCCAAAATTTGTGAGTTCATTGCATCAAGATTTTATAATTTGATATGCCATTAGCGATGGAGAGAAGCAATAATCATAATAGGGGCATTCCATTAATCTATTCGAACTACCGTAATCAACAAAATTCAATTAAAATCCAACCCACTAAGAAAGAGAATGAATTTATTAATATTATATTCATTGAACCCAATTCAACAAATAACTGTTGATTATTTTATTTATTAAAGAAATGAAGAAAGGAGTTTAACTCGTGTCTTGATTGTGTGTGAACTGTGATGGGACTCAAGATCAAGCGTTTAACTCAATAAGGATAACGGAGGGCATTTTGGATACTCCGTTGGACACCTCGGTGTACCACAAGCATTATTCATAAATTAATCCGCACCTGTGTTTTGTTCTCCTGTAATTTTACCTGATGGTTTTAATATTGGAGCTTCAAGAAAAGCCACTTGATGTGTTGTAATAGACTTTTTTTTATCCTTTTAGTTATTTGCTCAAGGTGGACTTTTGCTTATCCTCTATAACTACATATTTGTAGGTCATTTGTTATTGTCGAATCCTTTCTTTTTGGAGAAGTTTAGAAAAAGTTGATTTTAATAGTTTGATTATTAATTTTACATCTCAAAATGCGATAAAGTTAAATTTTATGCTAGCCTAATCTCTAGGGTTGTGAGTAAAGTTTTATTTTACTACTCTATCTTTTGAATTGTATAGTCTTCTTTTTAATATAAAAGTGTTAAATATTTAAATATTAAATGTTATTACACTTGTAAAATAAAATATTATGTTGAAAAGCCTCACATTAATTTGTTGCCTGAGACCTCTAAATTGTCATGGCCGACCCTGTTAGAAAGTGCCAAACCTGAAACTTGGAGGTGCAAATGCTGTGGCACGCTGTACAAACTATACTGTTCTAAGAATAGTACTTCAACTTTAGAGGGAAAAAAAATAGTAAATTGTGATTCATAAATTACCCGTTGCATCGGGGAAAAATTGCATTTGAATAGAAAGAAAAAGTTTTGCCCTAAAGAGTAATAATGGTTCTCTCGATCCCAACCTTTCTATTTTGTAGAAATTTCATTCCATTTAGGTAATTAGCAAAAAAGGTCCTTGTCTTTTAATATTATTGTGTAAAACGTCTGCACCTTTTATTTCTTGGCACTTTTACCTTTACCTTCACCTGTTATTGCAAAAACCATCCTTTTCATCAAATTTCTAATGTAAAATGACAAATATGCCCTCTATTTAAATGAAAAAATAAAAAAAAAATTAAAGAATAAATCGCAATCATTCTCTCAAACTTTTTTAAAAAATGCAAATGAGTCTAAACAAGTATTAAAAGGTTAATTAGCAAAAAACGTCCATACATTTCATTATTATTGTGCAAAACGTCCCTATATTTCATTTGTTGACATTTTTACCATTATTTCATATTTTATTGCGAAAATCGTTATTTTGATCCATTTTTTTAATTAAAAGCGATAAAATGACAAATATGAACTCCTCTTTAAACAGACAAATAAAAATGAACAAATTGTAACTATATTTTCAAAATTTAAAAAAAAAAAAAAAAAGCACAAACAAATTTCAAATAAATAATTAAAAAAAGTATTTATTTAGGAGTATAATTGTAATTTGTTCTTTATTTTCTTTTCTTCATTTTTGTTTATTTAATGAGATTGGTATATTTGTCATTTTATAGCTTTTAATTGAAAAAATAGATGAAAATAATAATTTTTGCAATGAAATATAAAAATAAGGGTAAAATAACAAAAAATGAAATGTAAGAATATTTTGCACAATAATAATGAAAGATATAAACGTTTTGTACTAATTACCCTTTTAATGATTTATTTTTAATCATTTGCACTTTTTAAAATTTTTCTTTTTTTTTAAATAAGAGGTATATTGTCATTTTACACGAGAAATTTGATGAAAATGATGATTTTCGAAATAAAAGGTGAAAGTAAGAGTAAAAGTGCCAAAAATGAAAGGTAAGAACGCTTTGCACAATAACATTAAAAGGTAAAGACGTTTGTGCTAATTACCCATAAAATTTTTATCATGCATATCATCCCAACCTTTCATTTATTGTAATCTGACCTCGAAACTGTAGAGATTTTTTAATTTGCCGATTCACATATAATGTCAAATTATTGACAGAAATATGAGTGTGTCTACAAATTCATAAACAATTTAAAAAATAATAAACAGTTGACTGCCAGTCTCATGTTTCAAACAAGGGTGAAGCCACTTACCAGAAAGATATTGATAGATGTCTTGACATAATAAATATTGGCAAGATATTATCGAATGGAAAATTTGATTTATTTTAAACAGTCCAATAATAAAATATTATATAGCATTATGTTAAGAATTATATTAACCTCTCTAACATTGTAGCATAATTTTTTAAAGAAATACAAGAAGCCTAGTAGCGGTTTTCAAGAAATTGCAAATCAATTAACTCTATATATTGACATAACAAAGACTCCTGTTTAAATAAAATAGGAAATAAAAATAAACAAAAACCATGAACTTCTTTGAGCCCCAGCTTATCATCCTTTAAAAGTTTAAATTGTTTGTTACAGTATCATTTTCCACCATACATTCATACAATAAAATATTTTACATATAAACCAATAAAGTTTCATTAGTTTTTAACCACATATTCTCCAAAAAATACTATTCAATAACTCATTATTCCTAAATAAATCCTATCAAACAGTTCCTAAATTCCAATTTAAAATTTTCAATTGCAAAAAGAAGGGGAAAAAATGGAAGTTTGCAATCACTTGTTGAATCAATTATGCAATACAAATATCATACAAAAAAATTGGAAAAATAACAAGGATCCTTTTGGTATAACCATTGCATATACAATTGGAGTAATTACAAGGAGGAAATATGAAGGCAAAGACAAGGGGGAAAGTGGTATTGTAGCTAGTATCGAAACCAAAAGCAAAATAATTTCATTTACTGGATAAAGAAAAACCTGAAGAATGGCTGGCGGCACCGTGGGTCGTATTTTGCAGAATGAACAAGTAAATAAAGTCGAGAATGAATTGATGCAGATTCCGAGCCCTTCTGTTCTTGTGTGGGTCCTGCATTTGCTGCATAAAGCAGTGGGTGATTATAGCAAAGATGTCGACTCTTTTCGTTCCACAACAAAGCCCTCAGTCTGAGTTTGAATCATAGAAGTCACTAGGGAATGTGGTCGTGATCTCAGATTCGAGTATTTGAACCACTCTGTGCATGGTGGGACGATCCTCAGGCCCTGAAGAAACACATCGGTTGGCAATTGAAAGCAAGGTATCGAGGCTTTCTGATTGTACCCCTTCACAGTGTGGATCAACTATTTCTCGTGTTCTACCCTCCGTTACTAAATAATTCAACTGCAAAAAGAATTAAAAAGAAATAAATCAGTTAACATACATATTGACATGAAGCATGATTGATACTATTAAGCCAATCATTACTGTTCCTTATGATTTTCGTAAGCAGGCTAATAAATTGAGATATGAAATCGTGCATTTATGCTCAGTCATTTCCAAGTTAATAGTAGGATAATTAAATTAGTTTTGACACGCGCATCTTGAGCAATTGGGTTAAAACTAGCATTAGCAAGAGTTAAAGATCTACAATAACAAAGAAAGTATTAAAAGACATACCCATCCAACAATGTTTAGACCCCTCTCGATGAAGGACGCATCAGTAGGCCGTTTTCCACTCACAATTTCAAGTACCAGNCATACCCATCCAACAATGTTTAGACCCCTCTCGATGAAGGACGCATCAGTAGGCCGTTTTCCACTCACAATTTCAAGTACCAGAACCCCAAAACTATAAACATCAGTCTTTTCTGTAGCTCTTCCACTCTGCATATACTCTGCAAATGTCGTGTGATTAGCATACCTTCTTGTCACAAAGCAGGACAGAAAATATCCAAATCAGTATTATGATTATGATAATTGGTGCTTTAAATTGCTTATAAGCTGGTCAAATATCATTTTTAATCACACATTTCTTAGGACTTACAACTTTTAGTTAATTTTTAACCACATATTCCTTGGACCCACAGCTTATGAACACAAAAGCTTAGCCAAGCAAGCACTTGATATTATTCCTTTATAAAGCTCACAAGCTTGACGTAGTATTTTGTCATGGTGTCAAGGCTATGGAATTTCAGTTCTTTAGAAATGGAATAACCAAGATAAATTGAAATGTGGTTTGTCTAATTATATTTTCACCAAGATTTCACATACACCATCATGCAACTACAATGAAAATGGATATAAAAAATACTGATATATGAAAAACGAGACATTTCACCAAAACCATCTTGTGGTGAATACTTTTAGCGGTATAATTGCCTTGTGTACTAAATCAAAAACACCCAAAAAAGGCAAAAAGGGAATTATAATATCCTGTACTTACCAGGGGCCAAATATCCAAAGGTGCCAGCAACAATTGTCGTGATATGGGATTCGTCATCCTTCAATAATTTAGCCAGTCCAAAATCAGACACTCGAGCATCAAAATTTTCGTCAAGCAAAATGTTGCTTGACTTGATATCACGATGGATAACCCGAGGGGAGCAATCATGATGCAGATAGGCGAGCCCTTTCGCAGCTCCAGTGATAATATTTAAACGAGCAGCCCAGTCTAGCTGCTCACCCCTCTCTGCACAGAAGATAGTGAATCACAAAGACATGAGACGATTATAATAGTCCAAATGAGCGAAAGATAAAATGTCTGTAACCAGATCATGTGGACAATACTTTGGTTACAACACAAAAGAGGAAACACACGTGATGATAAGAGTTCAATAGCAGCACATCACGTTCATGTGAAGGCTATTGAGTTCAATACTCGCTAAAACTAAAGGATGAAAATTTTGACAGTTTATATTTACAGATACATAGACAAAAATGAAAAGTTAAGCCCTTGTTTAAGCCACATTATTGGAATGAAAATTCATTTTTGAATAGTATATTGATGGGAAATGTGTGGTTAAAAAATAAAGAAATATTTTAAATTTGCGTGTAATATTATTTTATTAAAGAGTGTGTGGTTGAAATGATGTCAAATCATTGTTGAAGAATTTATTTTTTTCAAATAATGTGGCTCAAACAAGGCCTAAATTGCTGTTAGAAGATGTTTCCCATCTATTAGAAATAATTAAAAATAAACATTTAATTATAAAGACTAAGACATCCACATTAATGTGTATCACAAGGTCATGGAAATTGCATCTAGATTGATAAATTTCAGTTATACTGGACAAAAGAATATAAAATGACACAAACTTGAAGGTGCTAGCTTTTGATACTTAGTGTTGCTTTTAAACTTTCATATTAATATTAAAGAAATGATTAGTTAGATATACTCGACTTTGTCATTTAGCTTGATGCCCATCATCCTTACCAAAAGGCAAGCCTATGAATAGTGCAGTCTCCTGCAGGCTCAACAAACTACTTGTCTATTACAGCAACAAGAAAAGCCTTTACATACAGAACGAAAAGATATTATTTGTTGTTTAGAGACCGGTGGAGCAATGTGCTTTGCAACATTGTCAACTAATGATCCTGCAAGTGGGCTTTCCTCGAGAGTGGAAAAAGGTATTATATTAGTTTCATGAGGAATCAACCTGCAAGCTTTAACAAAATTAGGAACAATGACCAAAGATTATTGATTGCTACTTCTTAGAATGTCAATTTTGTTTGCTCTTTGCATCAGTAGTGACCACTAAAATTCTGATAGAATCTACATTAGTAGGATTCCCTAATTCCATTTTTCTGAAATCCTCAGGCCAAATTTTCCTTGGTGAAAGAACCAATAAAAATAATTGCACCTCAAACACTATTACAGAAACATTGCTTATATATAGTACTGGAACAAAGAATCTAAGCACTGGAACAAAGAATCTGATATTTCCACTTAAAGTGGATAATAAAGTAAAACAGCGTGGGTAAATTTTGTGAGCTAAAGAGAATTTTCCTCCTTATAGCTATGTAGTCACTTCAGCCATTCAAAGTAGGCATCAACATAATTTCATCGATGCCAAGGCTTTGTACTCAAATTTCAAAAGTAATAGTGTGAAGTGTGTAGAATACATATGATCCGCTTGTAGAACATAGACTAGACTCCCTTGCCACGTTATTTATGAATGATGACCTTATAGACCACCTAAAAACCAGTCATCTTATACTTAATGGTGTTTTCCTCCACAATTGGCCCAACAGAAACATCCACCATTGGACTCATGTAAGGCTGAAATTATGGGTCTAAGATGAATTTCAACTGTAGGCGTCTTTTCCTTCTATTCTCCTCTTAAAAAGGAATATAATGTAGCAGGACCTCCAAGTAAACCTACAATGAAGATATTTTGCAAGGTTGACCAAGTCTGCGTATGAAACTAAATATTCAAAGTTCAAACCGTATGACTGCAAAACCTCAAGAGTTGTGCCACAATACCTATGTAACATTATTCTTGCAACAGTCAATTCTGGAATAAACTGAACTGAGAGGTCTACAAACATGCATTTGTGCATTTGTTTCAAGCATTGGTAATATACATAAAACATAAAATAAAAGATACTATGCAAAAAAAGGTATCTCACCATGAAGAGCTTCATCTAGGCTGCCTCCCGATAAGAAATCATAAATCAACAATTTTGATGTTGGAGAATTGCAATATCCACGCAGGTTTACCAGGTATCTGTGTTTGATACTTCCAAGGATTTCAAGTTCCCTCTCAAAGAAACGATCAAATCCCTCATTTATCTTCACAATCCTTTTCAAGGCAAATACTTTACCATCATCCATTGCAAGTTTGTACACTGTTCCAAATCCCCCAGCACCAATTATGTGTTCCTCATTCAATGTCTCCAATTTTTTTATGATGTCCTTTGAAGAGTAAGGCAAGTCTCCATGGAACATCACTATTGATGCACCTGAAGAAATGAAAATTAAGAAAAAGTTCGATATCTTACAGAATTTAAAAAGGCACAATGATGTGACAGTTAAGAAATATTGCAAATTATGTGCATAGGTATTGGATAAGTACCTCCACAGACATCCATGGCAAGGCCTTTCCCATCATTTTTGCCAAGCCTCTTATACAGGAAACAGCCGCAGAAACAAACAAGCGCAACCAAAAGCAATGCAATCACAGTAGCAAGTGCACTTATGAGAAGGCCTGAATATCTCTTCTTGAACTGACTTTGGGCTAAAAACATCATGAAGACCAATATTAGATGCTACCACGAAAAGGATTAACTAGAAAAAATTAAAAATAGGGCAAACCAACAAGGAACAGAGGCACCTTCATTATTAATGGGCATTTTCACTCACGTTCTACACCTTGCTCTATATTAAAAAATTCCTTACATATGACCAACATGCTATCATCGTAGGCTTTTTTATCAATTCATTCTTCTGCAAGATAATAATATCATACTGAACTATCTAATGATTAAGTGAGAAATAAAGAGGAAAGATTTTGAAAATGGGATTAGGATCATATCCTTTGCATCCATGATTAGCATTCTATGTTAAAAAGGATCGATCGAGAAACAAGGCATTTTGCCTCTATGAGAGAAGGCGCAAGCATTGAAGCGTAAGCCTCAACACAAACCAATCAAATAACTTGAAACAACTAATAAAATACAAAATATGTTCATAACAAACCATAACCATCTTGAGTATTCATAATAATATAAAAAAATAAATCCCTCCAAACAAACATAAAATAGATCGATAAAGTTGTGAATAGTTATCAAATCAGTGATCACATAAAACTGATAATCCATTACTAGAAGTCTAGAACTACAAAAACCTAAAAGTCATTCATATCATCACTACTAATAAGATCTTCAAGAGAATCTATAGAAAACGTCCAAGTATAGAAACAATATTGGGGGTGGAAATTGTGATTTTGAATTTTAGGATAATTGGTTTATTATTTTCTTTCCTTATTAGGCAGATTATTTTTCCTTCTTTTCTTTCAATTGATGTACTATAAATTATTTGTATTGCTGCTGGAATAATCAATAAACACAAAAATTCCTTCCAACAATTGTCTTCATAGTATCAAAGCCTAGGTTTCTCTAACCTAACATCTCAATGGCGGAATTCCCCACCAACAGCAGGGAGTAGACGACCTCTGCAATGTCTAATTTCGAAGCAGAGACCGCCCCCTCAATTGGTAATGGGCTGGAGACTTCTTCCTTCCACTCATGGTAGAAAAATTGAATGGAAGGAATTATCGAGAATGGGCCCAACCTATTAAATTAGTAATTGACGGTAAAGGGAAACTGGGTTACTTTACCGGCAAGACCAAGAAATCAACCAAGAGTGTCATGCTACAGAAGTGGAAGTCGGAAAATTCCTTGGTAACCGCCTGGTTGGTGAATTCCATGAAACCGGCAATTGGAAAGACGTATCTATTTCTACCAACCGCAAAAGATGTCTGGGATGCAGTGAAAGATACCTACTCCGATTCGGAAGATTTTTCACATATTTTCGAGATTAAAACTCGATTGTGACAAACCCGGCAAGGCTCGAGAGATGTAATAGACTAATATATAAAATGGTTGCTCTTTGACAAGAATTAGACCTCAATGGAGAGGAGTGGAAGTGTGGAGATGATTGCACCTTGTACAAGAAGAAGCAGGAGAATGAAAGAGTGTATGAATTTCTTACAAGGCTAAATCGTGAGATAGATGATGTCAGAGGCCAAATATTGGGTCGGCGACCACTACCTCCCCACTCGCGAGGTGTTCTCCTGTAATTTGTTATCTGTTAGTCAGTTGACAAAAAATTCTAATTGCTCTACTAATTTCTTTCCATCTTACTGTATCTTTCAGGACCTTTCATCGAGGAAGACGATTGGCAGTGTAAGGAGTTTGAGGAACTATACTACTTTAAGGAAGTTGATATGAGTAGCCTAGGTCATATATTAGACTGTAATTATGCATCTACCTCTAGAGATAGTGAACTTTTGTTATGGCACAATAGATTGGGACACCCTAGCTTGAAATACTTGAAACATGTACTACCTTCCATTTTCAATAATAAAACTTACGTTGAAATTCAATATGAAAGTTGTCCTTTCCAGCTTCCATGTACAAACCATCTAAACCTTTTGCCATGATTCACAATGATTTATGGGGACCTTCCCGCTACCCTAATCGGACCCAAACGAAATGATTTGTAACATTTATAGACAACCACACTCGAGTATGCTAAGTTTACCTCCTAAAAGAAAAAATGGATGATCATTCCGTATTCATCAATTTTTACTCTATGATTCGAACCCAATTTCAAACGCCACTCCAAATTCTGCGCACTAACAATGGCACAGAATACTTTAATACTGCTTTACATGACTATCTAAAAAAACATGAGATAGTCCACCAAAGTTCATGCGTCAACTCTCCCCAACAGAATGAGGTTGCTGAGCTAAAAAATAGACATCTACTCGAAGTTGCCCGTGCCTTAATGTTCACTACAAACATGCCAAAGACATTTTGGGGGATGCCATTTTAACTTCTGCATACCTCATCAATCAAATGCCTAGCCCAACTATCTCATTCGACTCACCAATACATAGACTCCAAGAGCACTTCCCGACCTCCCACCTCAATTCCAACCTACCTCTCAAAGTATTTGGTAGCACTACATTTGTACATATCCACTCTCATCTCCGAATTGAACTTGAACCACATGCAATCAAATGTGTGTTTCTTGGATACTCGCCTACACAAAAAGGCTACAAGTGCTATGACCTGTCCAACAAAAAAATCTACGTCAGCCTCGATGTCACCTTCTTCGAGAACACCCCCTGCTACAAAAATCCTCATCTTCAAGGGGAGAATATGAGTGAAGATCAGTTATCAAATCTAGAATTCTTAGAAATTGATCTTTCACCATCTGAACTAACACATACAGAACCTATCAATCTACCTTCTAATGTACCATATACAGGAGGAAACTTGAATTCAGGTAGAGATGATGGAAAACATAATGACGAATTATTGGTTTACTCAAGAAAGCCAAAATCAAAGTACAAGGAAACTCTTACACCTGAGGCACCAAGAGAGTCAGAACCGATGATAGGACCTGATGAGAACCCGTCCAATAAATCTTCAGATCTAGATTTACCTATTGCTATCAAAAAACAAACTCGGTCATGTACTCTCCACCCTATTTCAAAATTCATTTCTTATAATGCTCTATCTGCAAAGTTTCGTACTTTCACAGCTAACCTTGACAAAACCAAAATCCTGCTGAATATTCAGGAGGCCTCGAGATCACCTAAATCGAGAGAAGCAGTAATGAAAGAAATGAATGCTTTGAAAAAAAAATGACTTGGGAAGTGGTAAAAGAGACCCGTAGGCTGCAAATGGGTAGTCAACGTAAAGTACAAAGCAGACGGGACAACAAAACGCTATAAAGCACGTTTGGTTGCCAAAGGATACACTCAAACATACGGCATCGACTACACTGAAAAAGTTACACCAATGGCAAAACTTAAAAGGCAGTAAATCTAGACTAGCCACTTCAACAACTAGATATTAAGAATGCTTTTCTTAATAGGGAATTAGAAGAAAAAGTTTACATGACAACAGCACCAGGCTTCAACAACAAATATGAGGAAAATCAAGTATGTAAATTGAAGAAATCTTTATATGGACTTAAGCAATCACCAAGATCGTGGTTCGATAGATTTGCAAAGGTACTAAAGAGACAAGGATATCAACAATGACAATTACATCACACAATGTTCCTCCAACATTTCAGAGATGGGACAAAAACTATCCTAATTGTGTACATAGATGATATAATCCTAACAGGGGTTAACAAAGCTAAAATGGAAAGACTAAAGAAATGTTTGACTGCTGAATTTGAGGTAAAAAAAACCTAGGACAAATGCGATATTTTTTAGGGATGGAGGTTGCAAGATCAAAAAAAGGTGTCAATGTTTTCCAAAGGAAATATATTCTCGATCTTTTGATCGAAACTGGTATGCTGAGATGCAAACCCAGCGACACACCTATTGAGGTAGGAAAATTGCCATAGGATACAGGGAACTCAATGGAAATAGACAAATATCAAAGACTAGTTGGGAAGTAAATCTATCTCTCACACACTAGACCTGACATAACCTTCGCAGTCAGCATGGTAAGCCCGCATATGCATTCTCCCAAACAATCTCACTTGGAAGCAGGATATAAAATCCTCAAATATTTAAAAAGCACCTCTGGGAAAGGATTGTTTTTCAAGAAAAATAAACACAAAAGAGTAGAAATATTCACCGACGCAGACTGGGCTAGATCAATAGAAGATAGAAGGTCCACTTTAGGGTATTAACCTTTGTATAGGGAAATTTGGTAACTTGGAGAAGCAAGAAACAGAATGTAGTGGCACGAAGCAACGCAGAAGCAGAATTTAGAGCTATTGTACAAGGAATATATGAAGAATTATGGATAAAGAAACTCTTGAAAGAACTGAAAGTTGGAATGGAATTGCCAATCAAATTCTATTGTGACAACAAAGCAACGATCAATATTTCCCTCAATTCAATGCAACATGATAGAACAAAACATGTAGAAGTAGACAAGCACTTTATCAAGGAAAATGTGGATGATAGAATTATTTGTATGACATGTTCCGACCAAAGAACAAACGGCAGATATCTTCACCAAGGGGTTATCCAGACAAGTATTTGATGACTTCAACCGCAAGTTAAACTTGGTCAACATATATAGTCCAACTTGAGGGGGAGTGTAGAAAACATCCAAGTATGGAAACAATATTGGGGATGGAAATTGTAATTTGTATTTTAGGATAACTGGTTTATTATTTTCTTTCCTTACTAGGAAGATTATTTTTCCTTCTTTTCTTTCAATTGATGTACTATAAATTATTTGTATTACTGCTGCAATAATCAGTATACACAAAAATTCCTTCCAACAATTGTCTTCATAATCATCAGAATGTTTTGATACTCATAACATCCTCATCACTATCAGGGCAACACACTAGAGATCTGAAGATTTGGCAGATATGAAAACATGGCATGAGCTTCGCTCCTGGGTATGTGAATTTTACTTCTGCAAACAACATTGAATGAACAATCTCCTACGCGATAAATTTTACCTAAATCAGTAGATGAAGCAGAACCACCATTGCTGCATATTTTTTGTGTCTGCTTGCCACATAATTCACGATTGCCAACAAAGCTGCCAAGAAAAGCATCAATCAGCAAATGTAAAAACCCAACCACACACCTTTACTACAGAGAATAGAATAACAGAAAACCATAACAGTGACTTCAAGAAAAACACAGGAGAAAGATTCTATTCTCTCATTTGGGTTATAATGAGAGGAAATGAAATTTAGGATCTAGGTGGAGGCTTTAAGAGAAAACCTATTTTCTTTCTCTTCGTTTTCTTCTATATTCTGAAACCATACAAGACAAGAAAGTTTACAATTTTCCCCTCTTTTCTCCTTTCACTCCCACACTAATTACATAGCAATAGATCAATTATTAGCTACAACAGAAATTAATGATTGGATAACAAATAGTACTGGCAATCAAAAACTACAAAGAAAATAAAATTAAGCCCACGTTTGATCCCCATCATTTAAAAACTTATTTTCAACCACACATTCTTTCAATAAAATCATTTTATACGTAAACCCAAAACTTTTCTCAACTTTTTAACTGCACATTCTCCAAAAATTCAGTATTACAAAATACACTATCCCAAAAAATGAGGCTCAAATAAACCCTAAAGAAAATCAGACAAGGAGTGTAGTAGACCAGAGAGCAAGACTAGACCAACAGGAAAATACAAAAATCACATTATCAGCTTCACAATGAAGGTCAAAAAGCATACTAACAATACGGACCACTCAATATAAGATTATAGATATTTTGTACTTACGAATCATTAAGAAAATTGGCAAGAATACCATCAGAGGGTATTGATCCCACCAGAAAGTTTGTTGAAACATTGCTGCAAACATTGTAAGAGAGCAACAAATAAGTACTACACCTGGAGAAACTGCCCAATGACTGATGTAACTTGGAAATTATAGGCACTCACAAAGTCGAGAGCTTGCTCAACTTCCCAATAGATGCAGGAATGTTGCCACTGAGAGAGTTGCTTGAGAGGTCTCTAAAAAGTCCAACAGAGAATTAAATCATTAACTTTGAGAGGACTCCTGTAAAACTAAAAATGAACTTCTATGTGGGATATCAAAATCCTCTTATACCGTTGAAGATAATTGCCAAGGTCACGGGCTGAATGGACAGATTTAAAACTATGGCTAGAGTAATTCCCAACAATTTCTTGTCAGAAGCACAACAACATATTGTCAAGAACCCTGGTTCTCAGATTATCAATAAACAGAAGCTTCTCGACTTTACCTAAAAGCAAAATTAGGAAAAGAAAAGGCACTCCGGGAGATAGTCTCGCTGAAAATACTTACTCTGCTTAGCTTGAACAAAACCCAAAAGTTTTGAGGAAGGGCTTACTTGCCAGAGTGAAATTTTTTGTCTTCAGTCTCTTCTTTCTGCTTAGACTGCTTCCAATTAATAACATATGTGATATTATATCTATGTGATACCACTTAGACCTATCTCACTAGTTATTACATGGTTCCTTTTTATCTGACTATCAAGACTTGCCCCCGTTTGGTCTTGGGGGCAATGAAATTTGTTTTCCTTCAATAGCAATATCGTGCTTAAGTGTTCACTCTAGATTCTCCAAGTCTGTCTACTTGCTGGAAGAACAAACGACTTTCTTTTTAAGGATAAAAGAAGCATTTATTGAATGCAAGCTGATAGCATAGACATTTACTGATTTAATGATTGGGCTTGAGACTGTATATTATGGATGACAAGATTTTGCAATCACCTTTTACGTTTGTTCAAAGACATTGGGAATTGTTGGAGAGTATAATCAATGTTGCAACATCTAATCCAACAGTAAGAAAGGTACAATAAATTATCTCATCCTCATGATTCAGCTTGACACAGATGAGGGCACTAGCTATCCTAAAATGACGTCAACTGATATTTTTCTTCATCAATAAAAGGGAAGGTTGTTAACAATTGTCAATTATGGAAGTACACATTAGTGTGTCTCGAGGCTAGTGGTCAAAACTTCAGCTTAGCATCCGATGGAATGAATAGATAGAAGGGGAAATCTTTTGATGGCTTTCATATTGAGCCTGTCTATCACATTAATAGAACCTGAAGTCTTGACCACATCTACATACTTCAAATCTCATTAAGGATGCCACGGAATCACAAGGAAGAGTCTTCATAGAGCAGGTAAAATTACTTACAGATTCTCAAGCTGAGAAAGGTTCCCCAGTTCACTCGGAATAAATCCACTCAAGTAGTTACCCTGCAAAAATCTGTATAAAGGAGAATCAAGAATTCCTCACATGACACAGAAAACTAAAAAGACAGAAAGAAAACAACAGTGATGAATTAGAAAAAGAAGCAACAATGTATCATCCTTTTTTCTCATACAGCTATCACTCAATAATTTGTATAAAACTCAGACTAATAATTATCTTGAGTCAAATCAAACAGACACGTCTCTGTTCATTGGGCAAAAAGACATTGGAAAAAATATTACAGTACAAGGCAGATGCGGAACCAGTGCAACCCCAAGACCATGACTAATAGAGCTTCTTTTTGAGAAATACATATAACTTTTTACTCTTTCCTCTATAAATGAACGAAACGCAGTCAATAGAGATACCAACTTTACCTTAGCATGAGGCATTATCTGTTTATGACAAAGTATTCAATGACTGCAAAGCAGCTATCATATTTTTTGAGATGTTAGCGTCGTCATAAATTGTAACCAATCCCTTTAGAAGTTTTATATTAACTGCAACCGTTCTTTGCAGGAAATTCCAGAGCAGATATTAATAAATGATTAAAAGAATTAAGATTTAGGCATCTCAAATACTTTGTGATGCATAAATACCATGTTTTAGATTATATCCTCGGGATCAAATTACTGAACACGAGCTTGTCAGCAATATTGACATTATGGTCAACTTCAAACAAATAGTTTCCCTATTATACTTACATTGACTGCAACCTTGTAAGATTTCCCAATTCTGGAGGGATTGACCCGTATAAATTGTTGTCATGAAGAGCTCTACAAACATATAATTATCACAGTATCAATAGAAGGTATAGCAATAGATGGGAAAGAACAAGAAAAAGAAACATACAGAAATTGCAGACTTTCTAGCTTCCCGATATCTGGTGATATAGGTCCACTAAACTTGTGGTTGGGGAGGCTCCTGGACATTTAGTGATACCAATTATTAGAAGTAAATTTCTGCATAAAAACTACTGTCCATCAAACCAGGTGCACATTCCTGATATCCAAAGCTTGAAATTTCAATAACTTTGGAAAAAATTCTAATTCAAAAAAGAGGCAAAATATTATCGCATTGTAAATTTTAAGGAAAGAAAAGAGGAAAAGAAAGAAACCATATGCCCCTGTTTAGTTTAGCTAAAAATCAAATTTTTGGTAAACTTTTATCAAAGTTGATGAAATGTATGATTAAGTTGTGGGTCCCGCGAAATGCATTAAAATTGATTATTGACTTTAACTTATATTTGTATCAATTTTCTTAGCTAAACCAAAATTGGATTTAAAAAATTGTTTCATAAATTGATTGTTGGATCAGCTCTCAAGTTAAAAGAGTACTTTCTTCATGTTAGCGTCCAGATGATAAATTTGATATTGAAATTGAATCTTAAATTTCAATACTCCATTTACTTAGAAGTGCTATAGAATGGATGTATATCTATGTTCTTGCAAAATGGTGTACTCTAGTCTATGTAAGTAATACTAACAATGTTATAGGAATATCATGTATGGAAGTAATTGTCTTTTATCAGATTTCTGAAGTTTTATAACAATAAATTTCATGTGTAGTTGTTTGAGAAATGGGATAATTATTCATTTAGCTAACATACCAGAAACTGCTTATTTCAGGCAAGTGACATTATTTGAGGACTTTACAAAAGAGAAATGAAGACAGAACAAAAAGAGAGAAGAAAAAAAAATATTACGTTTGTTAACGTAGTCATATAAGCATTAAAGCTTTGTACATTCCAAGCCCCTACATATATGTCACAAAAAAATTGTCTTTAAGAAATCTCGAAACATTGTGGAACTCACAAGGTTATAACTCTCTTCGAGTTGGGATCGCATTGTACCCCTTTCCACCCACATGGATCAGGATCCTCTGGTCTCCACTGCTGCAGGACTCCGTCTGAACTAATGATGGCTGTCCTAAAGCTGACCAGCACTTCTCCTGAAAATTGGAAGCATTTTTTCAAGTATAATAATTTTGCATTCCCATTTCCTTCAGTATTTTGCATGACTATGCAAATAATTGTACGACAATAATTTTGGCAGATGCTGTGATCCCAACATGTCTTATTGTTGAGTTGTATAAATGAAATTTCTGACAGGCAGTAGAAGCTCATTATACTTGAGGGAAGAGAAGGTAAACAATTAAATACATTCTAAGTTGCAGTAGACTTGTATGTCATGGTGTTTCTTATTATGTAGATGCTATATTTAGTTAGATTGAAAAGAGATGTCTCTTAACATCTTTAGACGGTCTATACATAAGTACCCGTGCAAAATGGAAGAAATTAGCAAACAAAAAATAAATCACCATACCATCAGGACTGAGAGCCTCAGTTTCTTTTGCCAAAGCGTGAAGCAATAGAGTACATAAAAGCAATGGTTGCTGGAAATTCATGCGGAAGCTGCCCATTGTAGCTCTAATCAGGCAAAACAAGGTCACTACATAGCATCTATGCACAAAGCTCCATAATATTCCTCTGATCATGCAGTTATCAAGTCAACAAAAGCCACATGGCAGCCACTTCAGATCCCCCGGGAAACAAAAGTAATATTTTTAAATATTTATAATTAAGGAATAGAAGAAAAAATCTTCACATTTATATTCTCTGGTTATATGCATCAAAGGAATTTTCAAGACGGCAGCAAGTGGATGCACATGAAAAAGAGACCTTTTTGTATTTATGATAAATGCATGGTGGGGTCATGATCGGTAGCAGTCAAGTTCTTGGGCTATGCAACCACAAGTTGTGCTCTACAGAGCATGAAATTTGTTTTAAATGTTCAATATGACAGATCAAATATCGATAGGGTCAATGAACTGTTCACCCTGGTTGGCAAAAGCAATCAATCACCGCATTATGCTCACAAATTGAACCCTCGCGTTTGTGTAGGAAACCAACTTTTCCTACTCATAATTCACAAAATTCAAAACAAATGCAACAGAACTTCATCTGCCATATTGATGTTTTTTCAGATAAAATATGCCATGAATGAACTTTAATAGTCAATTATTCATATAAGACTGCCCCGCCTGAGGACCCATGGAATGTAATTGATGTGATCTAACAAATAGTTTTCCTGACTGAACAAAACAATTATCATAATAATCAGAGCAACAGAAACACCATTGAATTTCAGGCATGGCCTTCTAACAGAAATGTAGCCTCGAGTAAAGTAATTTCCATTCAACGAGCCCACAGTCACATCTCTGTGGCTTCCATTCTTTCTTTTTAAATTCCTAATTATGAGATCTGAGGCTGTGCCATTCATAAAGCATTAAATCTTTTTACTTCATTTTCAAATTAAGCACCATCAACTGCAGAATTATGTTAACATTGATTGAAGAAAACTAAAGGAACGGAAATTTCCAATAAGGCAGAGTGTTTGTGTCAGACAATCCTTTCAGCATGTTCATATTTAAATTGAAAATTCAATGCATTTGCCTCACTGGATACTTCTCTAACACCCATCATACATTTATTGGTCACTCTAAAAGCATGTTCTCGAAAATTAAGATTCAAAATTGCACATATATTATAGAATGGTAGACTTTAAATCTACAACCTATTATTTTGAAACCTAAATATAATTTGTTGAATGGCTTATGAAACAGTGTAATTATGAGAGCGTGTGAAGGAAGAAAGAGAGAACTATTGTCAAGGTATTCAATTTATCCTTTTGACTCGATAATCCTCATTGTGAGGGTTCCTTTGTATATATACGAATAATAAGGCAAATTACATAGCTGAATGTTAGCTATCACTGTACATGAATGGAAACTGAGCAATTTTCTACCAATTACAACTATTATACAAAGCTATACAAAGCATCTCTAATTCTGGCGTTAATTACTCTTTCTATCTAATTGACATCCCCCCTCAAATTGATGCTGGGTGATCAAGAAGCATCAATTTGCCCACAAGAAAGAAATAACGTTGTCGTGTCATGGCTTTGGTGAATATGTCGGCAATCTGTAGATCAATAGAGATATACGGAAGAGAAATAATATTTGTGTCAAAAGCATCTCAAATTGAGTGACAATCTACTTCGATATGCTTTGTACGCTCATGATATATTGAATTTGCAGCAATCTGAGTAGCACTCGTGTTGTCCGCATGAAGGGGTGTAGGATCAGACTAAGGAAAGCCAAGTTCAGCTAGAAGCCCACGAAGCCACATAATCTCAGAACAGGCAGCGGACATGGCACGGTATTCGGATTCAGTTGAAGATTTAGACACACATGCCTGCTTTTTACTCTTTCAAGAGATCAAAGAATTACCAAGAAACATACACCAACCCATAATGGAACGACGAGTATCAGGGCAACCGGCCCAATCTGCATCACTAAATGCAACAAGACGAATAGGAGACCCAGAAGGGAAAAAAATCCACGATGAGGAGTACCTTGGAGATACCGAATGATGCGACGAACTGCCACAAGATGAAGATGTCGTGGAGTTTGCATAAACTGACTGACTTGCTGGACTGCGAATGATATATCAGGCCTAGTGATGGTCAAGTAGTTGAGGCTCCCAACTAATTGACGAAAGATAGTCGGATCAGGAAGGAGCTCACCCTCTTCACGACGATATTTAACATTGACTTCCAGAGGAGTATCGACGGATGAAGAATCTTGAAGACCAGCCAAAGTGATCAAGTCTTGAATATATTTGTGTTGGTTCAAAAATATACCTGTGGAATCAGTGTGTACTTCCAAGCCCAAAAAATATGTTAGAGGACCAAGATTCTTCATGTGAAAGGAAGCCTGTAGGTGCTGCTGGAGTTGAGTTATCAAACCAGAATCTGTGCCAGCGATAACAATATCATCCACATACCCAAGTAAAAGAACAATATCTGTAGATGTCTTACAAAGAAATAGGGAGGAGTCATACTAGGTAAAATTACTTACAGATTCTCAAGCTGAGAAAGGTTCCCCAGTTCACTCGGAATAAATCCACTCAAGTAGTTACCCTGCAAAAATCTGTATAAAGGAGAATCAAGAATTCCTCACATGACACAGAAAACTAAAAAGAGAAAACAACAGTGATGAATTAGAAAAAGAAGCAACAATGTATCATCCTTTTTTCTCATACAGCTATCACTCAATAATTTGTATAAAACTCAGACTAATAATTATCTTGAGTCAAATCAAACAGACACGTCTCTGTTCATTGGGCAAAAAGACATTGGAAAAAATATTACAGTACAAGGCAGATGCGGAACCAGTGCAACCCCAAGACCATGACTAATAGAGCTTCTTTTTGAGAAATACATATAACTTTTTACTCTTTCCTCTATAAATGAACGAAACGCAGTCAATAGAGATACCAACTTTACCTTAGCATGAGGCATTATCTGTTTATGACAAAGTATTCAATGACTGCAAAGCAGCTATCATATTTTTTGAGATGTTAGCGTCGTCATAAATTGTAACCAATCCCTTTAGAAGTTTTATATTAACTGCAACCGTTCTTTGCAGGAAATTCCAGAGCAGATATTAATAAATGATTAAAAGAATTAAGATTTAGGCATCTCAAATACTTTGTGATGCATAAATACCATGTTTTAGATTATATCCTCGGGATCAAATTACTGAACACGAGCTTGTCAGCAATATTGACATTATGGTCAACTTCAAACAAATAGTTTCCCTATTATACTTACATTGACTGCAACCTTGTAAGATTTCCCAATTCTGGAGGGATTGACCCGTATAAATTGTTGTCATGAAGAGCTCTACAAACATATAATTATCACAGTATCAATAGAAGGTATAGCAATAGATGGGAAAGAACAAGAAAAAGAAACATACAGAAATTGCAGACTTTCTAGCTTCCCGATATCTGGTGATATAGGTCCACTAAACTTGTGGTTGGGGAGGCTCCTGGACATTTAGTGATACCAATTATTAGAAGTAAATTTCTGCATAAAAACTACTGTCCATCAAACCAGGTGCACATTCCTGATATCCAAAGCTTGAAATTTCAATAACTTTGGAAAAAATTCTAATTCAAAAAAGAGGCAAAATATTATCGCATTGTAAATTTTAAGGAAAGAAAAGAGGAAAAGAAAGAAACCATATGCCCCTGTTTAGTTTAGCTAAAAATCAAATTTTTGGTAAACTTTTATCAAAGTTGATGAAATGTATGATTAAGTTGTGGGTCCCGCGAAATGCATTAAAATTGATTATTGACTTTAACTTATATTTGTATCAATTTTCTTAGCTAAACCAAAATTGGATTTAAAAAATTGTTTCATAAATTGATTGTTGGATCAGCTCTCAAGTTAAAAGAGTACTTTCTTCATGTTAGCGTCCAGATGATAAATTTGATATTGAAATTGAATCTTAAATTTCAATACTCCATTTACTTAGAAGTGCTATAGAATGGATGTATATCTATGTTCTTGCAAAATGGTGTACTCTAGTCTATGTAAGTAATACTAACAATGTTATAGGAATATCATGTATGGAAGTAATTGTCTTTTATCAGATTTCTGAAGTTTTATAACAATAAATTTCATGTGTAGTTGTTTGAGAAATGGGATAATTATTCATTTAGCTAACATACCAGAAACTGCTTATTTCAGGCAAGTGACATTATTTGAGGACTTTACAAAAGAGAAATGAAGACAGAACAAAAAGAGAGAAGAAAAAAAAATATTACGTTTGTTAACGTAGTCATATAAGCATTAAAGCTTTGTACATTCCAAGCCCCTACATATATGTCACAAAAAAATTGTCTTTAAGAAATCTCGAAACATTGTGGAACTCACAAGGTTATAACTCTCTTCGAGTTGGGATCGCATTGTACCCCTTTCCACCCACATGGATCAGGATCCTCTGGTCTCCACTGCTGCAGGACTCCGTCTGAACTAATGATGGCTGTCCTAAAGCTGACCAGCACTTCTCCTGAAAATTGGAAGCATTTTTTCAAGTATAATAATTTTGCATTCCCATTTCCTTCAGTATTTTGCATGACTATGCAAATAATTGTACGACAATAATTTTGGCAGATGCTGTGATCCCAACATGTCTTATTGTTGAGTTGTATAAATGAAATTTCTGACAGGCAGTAGAAGCTCATTATACTTGAGGGAAGAGAAGGTAAACAATTAAATACATTCTAAGTTGCAGTAGACTTGTATGTCATGGTGTTTCTTATTATGTAGATGCTATATTTAGTTAGATTGAAAAGAGATGTCTCTTAACATCTTTAGACGGTCTATACATAAGTACCCGTGCAAAATGGAAGAAATTAGCAAACAAAAAATAAATCACCATACCATCAGGACTGAGAGCCTCAGTTTCTTTTGCCAAAGCGTGAAGCAATAGAGTACATAAAAGCAATGGTTGCTGGAAATTCATGCGGAAGCTGCCCATTGTAGCTCTAATCAGGCAAAACAAGGTCACTACATAGCATCTATGCACAAAGCTCCATAATATTCCTCTGATCATGCAGTTATCAAGTCAACAAAAGCCACATGGCAGCCACTTCAGATCCCCCGGGAAACAAAAGTAATATTTTTAAATATTTATAATTAAGGAATAGAAGAAAAAATCTTCACATTTATATTCTCTGGTTATATGCATCAAAGGAATTTTCAAGACGGCAGCAAGTGGATGCACATGAAAAAGAGACCTTTTTGTATTTATGATAAATGCATGGTGGGGTCATGATCGGTAGCAGTCAAGTTCTTGGGCTATGCAACCACAAGTTGTGCTCTACAGAGCATGAAATTTGTTTTAAATGTTCAATATGACAGATCAAATATCGATAGGGTCAATGAACTGTTCACCCTGGTTGGCAAAAGCAATCAATCACCGCATTATGCTCACAAATTGAACCCTCGCGTTTGTGTAGGAAACCAACTTTTCCTACTCATAATTCACAAAATTCAAAACAAATGCAACAGAACTTCATCTGCCATATTGATGTTTTTTCAGATAAAATATGCCATGAATGAACTTTAATAGTCAATTATTCATATAAGACTGCCCCGCCTGAGGACCCATGGAATGTAATTGATGTGATCTAACAAATAGTTTTCCTGACTGAACAAAACAATTATCATAATAATCAGAGCAACAGAAACACCATTGAATTTCAGGCATGGCCTTCTAACAGAAATGTAGCCTCGAGTAAAGTAATTTCCATTCAACGAGCCCACAGTCACATCTCTGTGGCTTCCATTCTTTCTTTTTAAATTCCTAATTATGAGATCTGAGGCTGTGCCATTCATAAAGCATTAAATCTTTTTACTTCATTTTCAAATTAAGCACCATCAACTGCAGAATTATGTTAACATTGATTGAAGAAAACTAAAGGAACGGAAATTTCCAATAAGGCAGAGTGTTTGTGTCAGACAATCCTTTCAGCATGTTCATATTTAAATTGAAAATTCAATGCATTTGCCTCACTGGATACTTCTCTAACACCCATCATACATTTATTGGTCACTCTAAAAGCATGTTCTCGAAAATTAAGATTCAAAATTGCACATATATTATAGAATGGTAGACTTTAAATCTACAACCTATTATTTTGAAACCTAAATATAATTTGTTGAATGGCTTATGAAACAGTGTAATTATGAGAGCGTGTGAAGGAAGAAAGAGAGAACTATTGTCAAGGTATTCAATTTATCCTTTTGACTCGATAATCCTCATTGTGAGGGTTCCTTTGTATATATACGAATAATAAGGCAAATTACATAGCTGAATGTTAGCTATCACTGTACATGAATGGAAACTGAGCAATTTTCTACCAATTACAACTATTATACAAAGCCATACAAAGCATCTCTAATTCTGGCGTTAATTACTCTTTCTATCTAATTGACATCCCCCCTCAAATTGATGCTGGGTGATCAAGAAGCATCAATTTGCCCACAAGAAAGAAATAACGTTGTCGTGTCATGGCTTTGGTGAATATGTCGGCAATCTGTAGATCAATAGAGATATACGGAAGAGAAATAATATTTGTGTCAAAAGCATCTCAAATTGAGTGACAATCTACTTCGATATGCTTTGTACGCTCATGATATATTGAATTTGCAGCAATCTGAGTAGCACTCGTGTTGTCCGCATGAAGGGGTGTAGGATCAGACTAAGGAAAGCCAAGTTCAGCTAGAAGCCCACGAAGCCACATAATCTCAGAACAGGCAGCGGACATGGCACGGTATTCGGATTCAGTTGAAGATTTAGACACACATGCCTGCTTTTTACTCTTCCAAGAGATCAAAGAATTACCAAGAAACGTACACCAACCCATAATGGAACGACGAGTATCAGGGCAACCGGCCCAATCTGCATCACTAAATGCAACAAGACGAATAGGAGACCCAGAAGGGAAAAAAATCCACGATGAGGAGTACCTTGGAGATACCGAATGATGCTACGAACTGCCACAAGATGAAGATGTCGTGGAGTTTGCATAAACTGACTGACTTGCTGGACTGCGAATGATATATCAGGCCTAGTGATGGTCAAGTAGTTGAGGCTCCCAACTAATTGACGAAAGATAGTCGGATCAGGAAGGAGCTCACCCTCTTCACGACGATATTTAACATTGACTTCCAGAGGAGTATCGACGGATGAAGAATCTTGAAGACCAGCCAAAGTGATCAAGTCTTGAATATATTTGTGTTGGTTCAAAAATATACCTGTGGAATCAGTGTGTACTTCCAAGCCCAAAAAATATGTTAGAGGACCAAGATTCTTCATGTGAAAGGAAGCCTGTAGGTGCTGCTGGAGTTGAGTTATCAAACCAGAATCTGTGCCAGCGATAACAATATCATCCACATACCCAAGTAAAAGAACAATATCTGTAGATGTCTTACAAAGAAATAGGAAGGAGTCATACTGACTCTGGATAAAAGAAAGTTGTAACAAAGTAGATCGAAACTTCTCAAACCATGCTCGAGGAGCCTGTTTCAGCCTGTAAAGAGACTTCTTCAGCTTACATACTTGTGAAGAAGAGGAAAAAAGGTCCGGAGGAGATGTTATGTAAATATCTTCCTTGAGATCACCATGAAGAAAAGCATTTTCGACATCCATTTGGTGAATAGGCCACCCCTAAGAGGCTGCAATAGAAAGAACAGTGCGCACTGTAGTCATCTTTGCCACTGGAGCGAATGTCTCATCATAATCTACCCCATATTCCTATTTATTTTCGAGAGCAACTAGGCGAGCTTTATAACGATCCAGAGTTCCATCAGAAAGAAGCTTAATAGAATATACCCACTTACAACCAATAGCCTTGACATTGGGTGGATAAGGAACAACATCCCAAGTATGATTATCCTGAAGTGCTTAAAGTTCTACATCCATAGCCTTCCGCCAACATTCATGTTTAGCTGCTTCTGAATAACGAGGAGGTATAGATGTCAATGTAGTGGCAAATGAATGAAAAGAACCATATCTATCAGGCGGGCGAGAAATACGGGTAGATCGTCGAGGACCCGGATCAGGAGGTACATCAGTATCTGATGCCAACTCAGGCTCAGAAGAGAGGGGTTGGACAAGATCAGATGTGAGGTCAACTTCACGAAGAGGCACTCAAATAATTTCCTTCTATCCAGAGTAGAAAGGGATGTTACAAATTTTGAACTCAAATACTGTCTATTCATGGCCCATCAATGGACAGATCAGTAAGTGCGTGCTTCCTCAAGTGGATAACACCACGAGGGGTCTAACCAACACAAATGACTCAACTCCAATTACTAGCTTGAAAAACTTTGAAGCCTAAATAAATGGAGCAAAATGCCCAAGTTGCCAAACAATTGCCAGCTCAAGTAGGAGTGTACTACTCAAAGAATTATGGTTGTAGATGGGAGATGGAACGAGAGCAAACTTTAAAAAAATTTATTGAAAAGAAAAAGTTGCATGCTCGACTCCATTACACAAGTTGTGCGTATATAAAGGATATTTATCTCTACAGTATGATCTTGTCATGTTTCTCTTGATAAATATTGCATGCACTCATTTAGAAACGCATGAATTATTTCTCAATACATCCACGCAAATTCTATGTCATTATTATTTCAAATAGTTGACCTGTGAACCTAACAAAGTCATGCTGTGTGTGACTTAAATCACTGCCCTATCCATGCCATTATGCATGTGACTCAACTCAAGATCCACGTTAACGTATCAAATTACAGATACGATTCCCATAACTTCATCATTCATGCCTTTCTGGATTCTCGATATCATCTTCTTTTCTCTTTTGTAATCTTTCACACAATCATACGCATCAATCTCATCAATCCCAAATCAACAAAACCATTTTTTGAACTTTTATTTTATAATAAGGATTGTTATTTGATCCAGAAGTACTCAGCCATAACATTGAGCTAGCCACAATCTCATCAGTCCCAAATCAACAAAACCATTTTTTGAACTTTTTATTTTATAATAAAGATTGTTATTTGATCCAGAAGTACTCAGCCATAACATTGAGCTAGCCACAGCCTGATAAACTTCAACAACAAACAAGGAGCCTACAAATTGATTCCTCACTTTTAAATGAGAACCTTCCACCAGTTTACTTTCCACAGATAGGAACCCATACATTCAGTGTGGTCACTCAGCAGGTAAATCAGAAACTTCATAAGATGTGAAAACCAAAAGCCACAAGAAATGCACTTCTTTCTATATTTTCAGTAAACCACTAAATCAGCATTCTAATCCTAATATTGCCTATAAGAAACCCATGTTCAACAAGCATCTGTAGGAAACCATGTGAGTGTGGACTATCTTTGGAAAGGAGTTAAGTATGGGAATTAACAAATTATAATTGTTGGAATTGATTGTAGGTTTATTATTTCCTTAGTTAGCAATTTTTTCCTTTTATTAGCCATTTTATGTAACTATAAAGTAGTGGAACCATTGTTAGGCCCCGTTTGATTCCTATTTTTCTCAAAATGCATTTCTCTCTCTCTTCTTTTCAATCACACATTCTTCATTAAAATAATATTACACGTAAATAAAAAAAAATTCCTAATTTTTCATCCACACATTCTCCATCAATTTACTATTCTAAAATTCATTTTTCCATAAAAATTGGTGTCAAACACCCTCTTAATATCAATACGCAGAAATTTCGTTCCAATTTTGTCAATAATCTCATTCCAATGTTATCTACATGGTATCAAAGCGGAGATATCTCTAACCTAGTCAATCAATGGTGGACGTCCACGCTAATAGCAGAAACTCGATGACCTCCGAAACGTCCAATTTTAAAACCAAGTTCAGTTCATCAATTCGAACCCAAGAACTTGACAGCATGGCAAAGAGAGGCATAGGAGACCGAGGCGATTTCAGCCATGGATTCGGAGGTTGCGGCGGCCGTAGTAGGTGTCATGGCAGTCGCCAAAACGAAGCATGGGTCCCAGTAATGAAGCTTGAGCGCTTGGCGATTCATGAAGTACTTGGGGAAGTTCGACGGAAAGGAAGCGCTACAGTTAGTGCTAATGAAGGAGACAATCAAGACCTCCAGTGAAGTGTCGGTTCTAAAAGCGAAAAATAATGAGCCAAAGAATTTGTCAACCAATGCTAGGGTGAAGGATAGTGGGCCAGGAACGGGTAACTCAAAAATGAGCCTAACACTGGGCTCCCAAAAATGACGTAGAAAAGAGATAATAGACCTTCCTTTATAAGGGACTGCAAATGACCAAATAAATACCAACAATTGGAACAACTTTATCGAATGTTCTCTAGCTCTTAATCCTCTGGTTCGACTCCTCCCAAAGGTCCCACTAGTTCCTTTGCAAATAAAGGTACTTTTTTGAAAGCCTTAAATACCTCAAAATGCAAAACCCCTTTGTTGTGCATGTGGCTCATACACGGTACAAGGGTATTTCCTGTATGGGCATTAAAATCTTATATGGACCCGGGCTAGGATTAGTATAAATAATATTGTAACCCTATTTTTCACTACTGAATAAAGAAATTTCCGTTTCACTCTCGTGGACGTAGGCACACCACCGAACTACATAAATTCTTGTGTTGATTTTCTTTTTCATCTCTTTAATATTACGCATAAAATCCAACACCTTTGGATCATCAACTCTGGTGCATCCAATCACATGATGGATTCGTATCAACTATTTTGTACTTACTCAACATGTGCCGAGGATGTTAAGGTGAAAATTGCCGATAGATCTTCTGTTGCAGGAAAAGGGAGTATCCAAATCTCTGAATACATAATACTAGATTTTGTCCTCCATGTTCCTAATCTGTCATGCAACTTACTGTCTATTAGTCAATTAACAAAAACGTTCGATTGCTCTACTAATTTCTACACTTCCTATTGTACCTTTCAGGACCTTTCATTTAGGAAGACGATTGGCAGTGCTAAAGAGTGTGGGGGCTGTACTACTTCGAGGAAGCTGATGTAAGCAATCGAGGTCCACATACTAGCGGTAATTCTGCATTTGTCTCTAGGGATAGTGAACTTATGTTGTGGCACCATAAAATGGGTCATCCTAGTCTTCCATACTTAAAACATGTATTTCCATCTATTGTTATAAACAATTCTTCATTTGAACTTCAATGTGAAAGTTGCAAATTTGCTAAACATCAGCGTACATCCTTTCCATATTCCACATACAAACTATCTACACCATTTGCCATGTTTCACCGTGACTTATGAGGACCTTCTCACATCCCTAATCGTACCCAAACAAAATGGTTCATCACGTTTATCGACAACCACACTCGGGTTTGTTGGGTATACTTCTAAAAGAGAGCAGATGTTCACTCAGTGTTTGAAAATTTTCATTCTATGATCCAAACTCAATTCCAAACACAACTCCAAATCTTACGCACTGATAATGGATCCGAGAACTTCAATACCACTCTGCAAGACTACCTAACAAAACATAGAATTTGTTCATCAGAGTTCTTGTATCAATACTCCCCAACAAAACGTGATGGCTAAGCGAAAAAATAGACATATACTTTAAGTTGATCGTGCCATAATGTTTACTGCAAATATTCCAAAACATTTTGGTGGGATGCAATTTTAACATCTACATACCTCATCGAACGTATGCCTAGTCGTGTCCTCTCCTTCAAGTCACCTATACAAAAATTTCAAACGCACTTTCTAACGTCCCATCTAAAAATAGATTTAACCCTAAAAGTGTTTGGATGTACTGCCTTTGTACAGTCCACTCTAGCACCGAAACAAACTTGAACCACGAGCAATCAAGTGTGTGTTCATTGGATAGCTTATTATAGGATACAAAATTGGAAATAGGATGAAGAGTACATAACCGAGGTTGTTTCCTGAGGACAATGGGTAAATCATCATTATCTGTGAATATGATTTGGATGAAGACATTGCCCTTGTTTGAGCCCCATTTTAGGGGATAGAATGAGTTTTTGAATAGTGTATTGATGTGAAGTGTGTGGTTAAAAAATAAGGAAAAATTTTAGATTTGTGTGTAATATTATTTTATTGAAAAATATGTGGTTGAAATGGTGTCAAAACACTGTTGAAAAATGTATTTTTACCAAAGAATGGGGATCAAACAAGGGCATTCTCATCAGGTCCTTTCAATGTTTCTAACTCTCTTGGTGTCTCAAGTGTGAAAGTTTCCTAATACTTGGATTTAGTTGCCAAAGGGTATACACAAACCTATGGGATCAACTATGCTGAAGCATTTGCACTAGTAGCAAAACTAAATACAGTTTGAGTTCAGTTGTCTCTAGTAGTGAATCTGGACTAGCCCCTTCAACAACTAGACATTAAGAACGCATTTCAAAATGATGAAGTTGAAGAAGAGGTCTACATGACAATACCACGAAGCTTCAAAACAGGAAATGAAGAGAACCAAGTAGGTAAACTAAGGAAGTCTCTATATGGGCTCAAGTAATCATCGAGAGCATGATTCGATAGATTTACAAATGTATTGAAGAGGCAAGGATATCAGCAAGGGAAATTTGATCATACCATGTTTTTCCAACAATCTAGGGATGGTACAAAGACGATCCTAATTGTATATGTTAATGATGTAATTCTATCAAGAGACAACATAATGGAGATGGAAATACTAAAGAAGTGCTCAGCTACCGAATTTGAAGTAAAAGACTTAGGGCAAATGCGGTATTTCTTGGGAAAAGATTGCAAAACCAAAAAGAGCATTAGTATCTCTCAACGAAAATACATCCTTGATCTTTTAACTGAAACGGGCATGTTGGGATGCAAACCCAGTGATACACCTATTGAGGTAAGAAAAATAAAGGATACAAGGAACACTGTGGATATGAATAGATATCAATGATTAGTTGGTAAGCTAATCTATCTCTCACATTCTAGACCTGATATTGCTTTCACAGTCAACATGGTAAGTCAATATATGCATTCTCCTAAGGAGGCTCATCTGGAAACAACATACAAAATCCTTATATATCTAAAAGGCACGGCTGGGAAAGGACTATTATTTGAAAAAGGTAAAAAGAACGGAGTAGAGGTCTTTACCGATGCAAACTGGCTAGATCAATCGAAGATAGAAGATCCACCACCGGTTACTGTACATTTGTGTGAGGAAATTTGGTAACTTAGAGGAGCAAAAAGTAGAATGTAATAGCAAGTAGTGCAGAGGCAGAATCTAGAGATGTAGCACAAGGAATATGTGAAGGGTTGTAGATAAAAAATAAAATAAATAAATAAATAAAAAAAGCTCTTGGAGGAACTGAAAGTTGAATTGGAACTTCCCATTAAACTTTACTGTGATAACAAAACAGCCATCAACATTTCTCTCAATCTAGTATAACATGACAAAACTAAGCACGTAGAGGTAGACAGACACTTTATCAAAGAGAAAGTGGATAATGGAACTATTTGTATGACGTATGTTCCTACTAAAGAACAAACTGCAAATATCTTCACCAAATAATTATCCCAACCGATATTTAACGATCTTAACTGCAAGTTGAACATGATCAACATCTATAGTTCAACTTGAGGTGGAGTGTAGGAAACCGTGTGTGTGCGTGGACTATCTTTGGACAGGAGTTAAGTATGAGAATTAACAGATTGTAATTGTTAGGATTGATTTATTATTTCCTTAGTTAGCAATTTTTTCCTTTTATTAGCCATCTTATGTACTAAAAAGTAGTGGAAACATTGTTAATATCAGTAAACAGAAATTTCATTCCAATTTTGTCTATAATCTCATTCCAATTTCATCTACAGCATCTACGAAGTAATAGCAAGCCTAATGAATTTTATATACAAATCTTTCAGTCTTCAAAAAACTATCATTTCAATTAAAAGCTAAAAAAGAAGGGATAGAATAAAATGAATGAAAATAATAGGGATGATAATTACATCAGAAAAGAAATGAGACCGTGGGTTAGAAAATTATCCGACAGATTTAAAATGGTATGCAAATCCCAAATTGTCCCTTTTAAACATTTCCTTGCATTGAACAACCTCCTAGCAGAAGCAACAGGTTCAAATAATGTGACTGGCAAATTCTACGCGACACCAACAGTAGAGCAGGTGAATATTCAGTTAAAATCAATACAAATAATGTGCTCCAGCCCTTCAAATAGCCTTTTCTTCCACTTCCTTCCGTTTCTCTTCTCTTTAGATATCACAGAATACCATAGAGCTACAAACTAACAACACCACATTGCCAGTATAGTAGCCATTGTTGATCGTGCAAAATTTATACTCAAGAACATTAGCTCAGCAATTCTATATAAGCGTGAGATATTGATTAATCAAAGTATAAACAAAAAAGTCATTAGAAAGTTTGAGTGTTTATAGATAGAAATTTTGAAAGTTTGATTCTTTCGTCGCATTTCTAAGTTCCCAAAATATAAATTTTTTTGTAATACCCATCTCTCTTATCAATATTTCTGTCAGTGATACATAAGTTCAGTGTCTTATAACTGTTAACATGCTGTTAATTGCAATAGAATGCACCAAACTACACTATTCACGAACACATGCTCAGTATCAAATTATTTTCCTTCTCCAAACTTTCTCTGCCATATTGCCCATCAGTAACAATAAATTATTGATATGCCCAGAAAAAAATAGTAAATACTAATATAAAAGTTCCACACAATACATTAATAAAAAAAAACAACTTTATTTCATCAATTATTCATAAAAAAGCAGATCAAAATCAACATTTCAGACGGTCAGCAAGCGACACTCTTAGCATAATTCCACCACCCATTATCAACAAGAATTCGAAAGACCCAATTTTTTCACAATTTGGGCAATTTTTAAGTGAGCTTATCAATTTTATGCCGGATTAAAATCAGCAAAACTGAGGAATTTTTACCTAAAAACCCGTAAAACAACAAAATACCTGGTGGAGGCAGTGTCGATTGTAGATTTGATCTGTGATTATGAAGTCGAGCTGAAAGGAGAAATAGAGAGAGAGAAAGAGAGACAGGAAATTGAGAGTTGAGCTGTAAAGTTGTGTAGTGGCAACAAAAAATGAAAAGGGGCCTCACTTTCTCTCTCTAGAAATAAATGTATGTATATGTTTGGCCTGTAGTAGCAATGTGTTTGAGTGTGTGAGAGAGAAAGAGATGCTCGAATTAAAAGGGCATTTATCAGAGAGCCACTGGAAATGGAGAGAGCGGCACGTGTGGTAGTGACTTCACACACATGCGACCGACGCCTGCGCTGTCCGTAGAGGAGATTTTTGTTCTGATTATTGATAAGACCAGGGCCGAGATCAATTTGCCAAACAAATTAAAGAGGACCAAAGGCAAATTTACAGTTCTTAGTTCATTTATCTAAGTCTCTCTCTCTCTCTTTCTGATCTTATATTGACAAAAATAATTTATCTACTTATAAGCTTAATCATAAAACTCGAAACAAGTCATTGGTTCAATCGAAAACCTAGTCAATCATACCCTAATCCTATTCAATCAACATATTTGGCTTAGTGTACGTTTGGTACTATTTTTTACCACAAAAAATCAATTTTTTAATCGTTATTTTATTATTCCAATCATCATTTTTTACTTTTTCACAGATATAACCTACTTTTCTTTCTAATCATCAAAAATCAATTCTCAAAATCACTACCGAACAAAGCTTTAATAAACAAATGAACCGTTATTGATCCTTACTAGATTTTTGAACCAAGAGCCTCAAGCTTGCTTAGGTCATGGTTTTTCATTGGGCCACATTATAAACCCAAATAGAAAATCACATAAATCCTACATTATAAATATCAATTTCAAAAATTAAGTATTTCTCTTTTTCTTTCAAAATCAAATATAAATATTATTTAAAAATTTTATATATCATTTATTTCCTTACTCTTTTTCTCCATTATCATTTCTCTCTACAATAACAACTCTAGTGGGTCTTCTCCTTAACCGCCATATTATGTCGATCGCAATCTCTCTCTATTATCTCTCTCTACTACAATTAGCAACACTAATTGATAAATGTATTTTGTATACTTATTTAAGCCTTTAAATGGGAGTGTTTATTGGATTTTTTGATAAATTATGACTTAATTCCATATATTATGTTTGTTATGCAATAAGAATTGGGGAAAAATGATGAAGAGAAGACTCAACTACAAGAAATTCAAAGTTTGGATACTAAAGTGAAAATACTTCAAAGTTATATCAGATCTCACGACGAAGATTCGAGAGTGCGATGGTCAAGTGGACGAGAAAAGAAGCCAAATGGTGAAATAGAGTCAAAATATCGTCACGAATCAATTTTCAGCCAAACAAATTATGCTCCATATTTTTGAACATTAGATTGAAACCCATTTTTCGCATAATAAACGTTCAAATTGAAAAAATGTTATTTGCAAATGAATGATAGCCATTTAAATTATCTTTCAAACTCACTTTGAATCATCTGAATTGAACGTCTAGAAAGAAATATATGACCCAAAAAAATAAAAATAAAAATAAATTGATAACCTCTCAGAGTCATAACCATGTGCATGCATTGTACAAATTCCATGCATATGCATAGCCATTCAACAGGCCTAACTAAAGCAAAAATGTCTCTTCCATTCATGCAAATGTGCGAGCATGTTGTATTCTATCACTCCTCTTTGTTGTTTTTCTCTTTCGATCTTCATTTTAGGTGCAAGTTTGCTTTTACAACCTTGTCCGCATCACTCTTCTCCTCTTCTTCTACAGATTGATACGTGGTAACTTTCTTAAGCCTCTTTCTTCCAAGCGTCAAAGCAACCTCCGAGTTTGATTCATTTCATTGGCACTTGCTGATGAAACTAAATGCTACTCATCAAAAAATGGACACTACAGCATATGTTTCTTGTCCCTGTATAAATCAAAAGACATTAAAACTACATCCTAAAGTTGGAGAACTAGGAAACCAGAAAATGCAGGGAATTTAAAATTTCCATATTTTCTCCTAATAAGGTTCAACGATCTCCATTTGCACAAGCTCAAAAATTCTAACTTCAAAGGTAATACATTTTTTTGTTTTATCTTGGCATTTCTATTTGTCGTAAATATGATGTGACTACTTGATTTTTAAAACTTTTCCGTAAGTTTCTTATTTTTTAAAGTGTATTTAGAAACATTTGTAATTATCTTTTCTCCCTAATATAAATGTTATCCATATATATAAACCCATAGCTTCTTTATATATTATAATTTTTCAAAAACATTTTATTTATCCATTGTCAAAGAAAAATAACAAACACAATTTTAATGAAAATAGAAAAGAATTACCTAGTAATAATATAGACACAAATGATACATTATAAATTTAAAAAATATTTGAAAAACTTATATAGATCTTATATTTAACCTTTTTCAAAAGGAGAAAATTTAAAATATATAATATTCCTACTAATAAATGAATTAAATTAAGAAAATGTTTGACGTGGATTAAAATTATATTTTTTAGTTAGATTATGATGGAAGTTTTTGAAATGTATGGTTGAAAAATTGTGAAACCCATAAAAGATGTGGTTAATATTGATTATTTGACTTTGACTTAGATTAAAATCAGATTTTAATCCGAACCAAACAAGCACTACAATTATACCTATGCCTTTTTCAAAAAAAAAAAAATGAATACATTGTTTTTCGTTTTCATAATTACTGTTTGAGCCTCATTTTAGCAAGAAAATGTATTTGAAATAGTTATTTTTTGAAAAAGTGTGGTTAAAAAAAGAAGGAAAAAATTTTGATTTAAATGGAAAATTATTTTTATGGGAAAATGTATAGTTAAAAATGAGTTTTGAAAAAAAATAGAGGCTAAACATAGATATATCTAACCTATAAATAAAAAAATAAAAGTAGTAAACAAACAAGTCCGTCTTACACATGGGCTAAGAAACAAGCCCAACCCAAGAGTGCACAAAACACAACCTGCATCTCAAAAATAGGTGCAGAGAAATATTCTCTGTGACATCTATAAAAACCTTCACAATGGTAAGCTAATGTGATTTTGTTAACATTTATACTGTCAATAAATTTATATTTGTACATTTAACAAACTTAATTCTACACCGAAAGGTTTACTTTTGTAAAAGTCAAAATACTTAGGGTTGGACATGGTCCGATTCGGTTCGGTTCTAATGAAAATCGAACCGACCTGAAATTTTTGGGTATTTAGTAAGTGGAACCGTCGGGTCCAGATTTAATATCGGAACCGTTCGGGTTCGGTTCAGTTCGGTTCGATTCCATTTGGTTCTATATTATAATTAAATTTTTTAATATATACAAAATTACGTTAATTTAATTAATGATATGTTCAATACTAGCTCTTACAAAATAACGTAGGTCAATTTTATGTGTTTCACGTCTCTCTTTACTGAATTCTTCATAAATTTGATTATTAAAATCACAGAAAAAGAAAGATAGCGAACTCAAAATAATTAAGAGAGATGTTGTAGAGTTTTAATTCGATTTTCTCCGATAGAAACGACACTACAGTAAAATAACAGATTTGGATAAAATTAAGGTCAATTTGATGAACTTGATTTTGAACTGAAAATTAGAAATAGGAAAATCATATTTTGTGGTTTGAACTAAATTAACTAGTTAACAAATTTATTTAGAAAAAATAAAATAATTTTACTTATTTAAAATAAATTAATTAAAAAATTACAGATATTCGATTTTTCGGGTCTTGATCTAGAACCGAAAATCGAACCATACACGTCGGTTCTTGATTCAAATACCCGTTCGAGTATTTAACTTGAGAAGAACCGTCGAGTTCGGATCGGGTTTGGTTCGAAAGTTTTGTCCAGCCCTAAAAATACTAAGTAAAAATGAAAAAAAAAAAACGAAAATTCCTTTACCATATAGGAATATAGCCATTAGGAAAATGTGTATGGAAGATCAAATAAGAGAAACTTCGTCGTAATACATATTTCACATAATTAGGTAGGGACGATTAAATGTAGTGGATAGTACTAAAAAAAAAAGAAGTCAAAATATTGTTCATTATATTGGCATTCGCCTCAATGATTGTCGCTATTCCTAATCAAAATCTTGCGTTCTTGAGCTTGTTTCTCCATAGACTCCCTCAACTGTATGTCGATTATCTGTTGCAACTGGAAGAGACTCTTCAGCATCTCATTGTTGGGTAGAAGTTGTGATAAAATTTCACTTTTTAACTCAAATAAACAAACTTTTATTAATCTGACAATATATATCTCATACAATAGAACAATTCTCTCCCAAAAACTATCTTATACAAACATTGAATTTTCTCATCTACTCAATATTTCAAAATACATACTAATACATCTATTTATAGAAAAACTAAGAAGAGTTCAAGATAATCAAATAGCTTTCTTCAACCTTCTTTAAGAGAAGAAGTATTCAAAATGATTAAGTAACTTTGTTCCACATCCTTTAACAGAAGAAGAGTTCAAAATGATTGATTAACTTCCACCTCCTTTAAAAAAAGAAGAGTTCAAAATGATTAAATAACCCTTTTAATAGCTCTTAGCCAATGACAAGATTCTCCTTAACCATGTATTCTTCTATCCAATAAAAAACTTTTGCTTAACCAAGTTGCATTTTGACTAAGTCATATATTCATCAACTTCGTACTTTCAAAGCTTCTTGATGATTTTGAAACTTCTTCTTATTTCTCGAATTTCCTTGATCAAGCACAATACTTTCAACATCCCCTTAAACTTAAACATCCCAAACATAAATTTCTGTCTGGTAAATACATCATGCTTAAGTAGCTTGGAAAAATATATGATGCTTGATCATTTGCTCTACATGGTAGTAGCTCCACTTCTATCATCTTTATGTATTTCGGATAAAATCAAAACATGTGTCTATATGTTTGCTTCTTTTATGATGAGCTAGATTCTTTGCGAGTGCAATTGCTGATTAGTTATCAATATAAATCTCAGTGAATTTTTTTTGAGGGAATCCCAAATAAGTCAGCGTATTGCGAAACCAGATAGCATGACATACAACTAAATTTACAGCAACATACTCAATTTCACAGCTAGATAAAGTAACTATTGGTTGCTTTTTGGATGACTATGTAAATTCTGTTTCTTCAAAAGAAATCGAATCCAGTTGTACTTTACCTTTCATCTATATC